ACACTACACGAGTTAGACTGCATGCAAAGAATCAAAGAACAGATAAAGCTATTGCGATTTTTACAATGGGTATAAAACATTGATTAAGTAGTCAAATGAACATCAAGACACTGAAAAAGTACATGTTACTAGTACAGACATTGCACAAAGTGAAAACAAATTCAAAATGTTCGGTCATAAATTTGTAAAATTGCAGAAATTTATTTTCTGGATACCTATGGAGAATCAGTGCTTCTTCTGTGACAAGGGATTAATTTCAAAATAAAATGTTCGTATTTCATCAATAAAACTATTACAAAAAAATGTTAGAATTCTACGACAGGAAATACTATTGTCAACTTCGGGGTACTAGCATCAGCGACACTTAAGATTATTATTGGTCCTCGATTTTGCCTTCACTTGTACAGTAATGTTTATAACTAACACAAGATTACATGCTGCAAATAAAACTGAGACTACATCTACACGTTTCCAGCACGAATTAAATACATATAGGGTTGCTTCTCCTAGGGAAATGCAAAGGATTGAGATGCAAGGTGTAAAAGACCCCAAGAACAATACTTTATATATCATGTTGAAATACGCTAAAGGTATCCCTTTGGAACAATTTGTCTCTCGTGTTTTGTTAGTCATAGGTTATGAAGATGTCAATTATATTCTTTGGTTATTGCTATTATTTTCGAAATTGGGATGAAAAACTGGAAAATCATTTGCAGAAAGAATACTTTTGGAGTATTTTATTTACTTAGTTTAAAATGATAAGGATATTTGCCATATTCGTTACATTATATGCCTCCTAAATGAATGGTTGCTTTTAAAGCAAAATTTAATAGATTCCTCGCAGTTCAACTCAGATTCATTCTGATAAAAAACATTGTAGTGGCAAAAATTAACTCAAATGCAAATGAATGTTCTGCTAAATTCTAAAGTTAATTATCGGTGTAATTCAACTGTGAAAATACAATGTTAGTCCCAATCCACTTCAAACTTCGTACGGGTCGTTCCACTTTAGTTTCAATTGATGGAAATTCCACCCAATTCTTCGAAAGGCAAATTCCGCTTCACTTGCGTAATACTGATAGACCACCCAAAACAAACTCCGGCCCATCTCCCTTATTTTGCAGTATGCACTTCTTTATTTTTCTTAAATTGAGAGAGTGAGTATAATTCCTGGCGTGTTATTTACTAAGGTCCACTACGTTAGCTCATTCTATATCCCAGGAGATGGAACGTTAGATCCTGCGCCGACCTACTTGAAGGGTTTTCCTCCTCCAGGTATCTCCCTGAATCCGGTCACCACTCTAGTCGCGGCAAGCTCTAAGACCTTATTGGTCTCCCACTCTATTTGGCAGTGTAGTGCATTTGAGTGAACGTGTGAGTGTATGCGTGTGTAGCTGGGATGAGGATAGGGCAAGGAAGACGAAAGGAAGACAGCGCGCGGTCCGTGTCCATTTTGTTAAGGATCTGCTCTGGCAAGACGTATTGATCGGAGAAGCCATCAAAAATTACCGATAAGAGCAGCCGGCCGCTAGAATTCTCCTGCAGGCAGCGGCTGAATTCGACTTCGCTTCGTAGCTAAAGTCGAAAACCCGCCACCGCCGGGACTCTATCACTAGGACCTCCCGGGCAACGATCCTGCGGAGGCAACGGACGTTACCACTCAATTATTGCAGCAGGTAATCCTCCCAAAGCGTCCTACGGTTCGTCCAACATTAGTTGCAAAAAAAAAGGCGTGCACGTGCGGCATGCGGAGCGGAGGCGAGCGGCGGCGACTCACCCATCGGTCGTGCGACTCCTCCAGCTCCAGGATGCGGAACTCCTGCAGCTCGTTGAGCTCGCGCAGCTCCTGCGCCTCCGACTGCAGCTGCTGCAGGCGCGCGGCCGCCGACCGCGCCTTCGACTCGCTCATCTTGAGGCGCAGCTCGATCACGTGGTGCGAGCGCTGCAGCTCCACGTGGTCACGGAGCAGCCCGGAGTACAGGGAGGCCTGGCGCACGCGGCGAGCGCGAGTCAGGGCGGACGCCAGGAGCATTGGGCTAAGTTACATCACCAGCAGCCTGTACTACTGTACTTTAAAGACTAAAGTCAATAAAAGTTGTATTACAGTTGCGTATCGGGCTATTGTATCCAAGTTTGCGTTTGGGGAAGAAAAGCCGGCTGTCCCATGAAGTAGATTTACTGCATGTATAAGATCAAGCCTAAAAGAAGCCTCTGAGGTAAATTCAAATCGCCGTTTCCGTCGCTCGAGATGATACCTTTTTTCTCCGCTAATGCTGAAGGGAGCGAAGCGAAATTTGCGTTGTCAGACAGAACAGAGGACCTGATGATCCGTGTCTGTCACGTAAAGAACGGCATTAACTACTCGTTGTGAACGTAATGAGGCCAATATATAGAAAATTACGGACGCGGATGAAGTTTGTAAATCGAAGCGATGGCCGAACAATATAAGTATCAACGAAATTTATTTGTGATATCGACCGTGGATAGTTCACCAATTTTTGTAAACCCACCTGCCTAAAAGGGAAATTCATTAAAATAAGTAATATATTTTCTTTGAATAACAGCATTCACGAGCCATCGTTCGCTACAACTAACTTATTTCGATTGACCTAATTGGGAAACGGGCTATTAAAATCCTTAACGGACGCCGGTGAAAGTGGCTTTTCGTTCCTCTGTTTTGTTAATATAACCGTACGAAATATTTTTAACATTGTACCATTTCAAGCGTAATAGCTCTTAGAATATAAATTGAAAAATAATTGTGAGGAACTTATTTCAAATTTTGAATTTCACGTGACGATTATTACTACAAAATAATGAATGAAATGTTCCAGCAAAAACTACGTCAAGGAACACAATATTCCCGAAATAAGCAGCAAATGTCAGAAGAGACACGAGAGAGAGAAGTGTCTTGTAGAAACCACTTCTTCCTCATCTCTAGAGAAGATATTAATGGTTTCGGAGGCCATCATTCCGTAATGCCATATCCTTGTCATGATCCGGGCGATTAAGGAGCAGATATCTTGTTCTTGGCTTTCCAGAGCAATAATTGCGATTAATTAATTCTGTACCTAGCTTAAATTGCATTTGATTGTTTTAAGTTAATTTCATCCAATCGTTGCCGATCGAACATAACTGTTATTAATGATGTTATTCACTTAACACCATTCTAGATTTCTCTCTGGAAAGTCCTGTTTCGGTTACAGTAACAACTTTTCAAAGAAAACATACTAAAATTGTTTTCTTCATTTAAAAAATTAATAAAACATTCGTTAATGTACTATCCATCTTACATCTGCAGGTACTTCTGCAACGAGTGGGGTTGTGGGAGTGGAAGGCTCTTCGGACGGTGTGGGTGAATTCTTTCCATCTCTGGTTCCTTCATCCACTTCAGCTACGGGGTCTAAACTCACAAACTGAAATGAATTACAGCATTACATACAGTATTAACAATATGCAAATCTATTTTATTTTTAAATATTTATAAATCATGATGTATAATAATGTAATGCATAGTTCATAATTAAGAAAAATCTGCAATTATGATTATAACTGGTTTTATTATTATAATAAATACGTTAAAATCACTACGATAAAGTAAATGTAAATACCATCATTACTAATTACCTTGCAGTACTGTTCTATATTTTCCTGATTTTGATACTTAACGTTCAATTGTTCGATCTGTCGCTCTTTCTCCTACAAACAAGCAAATCGTTGTTAGGATCACAGTTCTTTAGCACCTCAATAATTTATTTTTTGTTTTACTTATATTCACATTTTTGTTCAAAAAGAAAACTTACAAGCGCCGCTTGTCGTAGGGTCGCAATTTCTTTTTCTCGCTCTTCTACTTGGAACCTGAGATCATCCAGGCACGGCCCCAGCACGGACAGATGGCCCGTCGCTAGCGAATACTCCAATTCCTGGAAGCAGAATGAGAAGTTGAGTACTGCAGCAAGCGCCCCTTCATGCTAGCGTAGTTTTATTTTTTGAGAAAAATAAAAGGGAGTTGCCGCGCAAAAGGATGAGCAGCGGTGAGAGAGCAAACCCAGCATGCGATACTCCGATTACGGAGATATTCGCGAAGTGCAGGTGTTGTGGGGTTGGTGCACAACAGTTGCAATGTTCGTTCCTTCTATCGGTTTCCGACATTTTCCGAGGAAATCTGTATCGCGCACGCGAAGGTAATTTGTGAAATTTCTAGGAGATGATTCATAATTTGTTTGAGTGCCAGGAAGTACCTGGAAGCTATGGTCACACCAGCGCCTCGCAACGCAGTTAGATCTGTGTATTTTCTCCAATTTTAAAATACAAATTACCTAATTTGTTTAACTGTCCATGATATTTAAGCGCGCTTTATATCAAAGCGAAGTAATACAAGGCACTATCATATAATTGAATCTTCTTCTGAGTTAACATTCCCTACTAACGAGATGTTTTTTGTTATATTTTGTAACATACTTACACTACTTTCTGTTTCATAATACTAAAGTGTCTAAAGAACTTCAATTACATTTTACTTATTAGAAATCGCAACGTCATACCCAGTCACAAATCAAAACGGAATCTCTTCTCACAGCAATACTTACATTGCACACTGTTTGATGCTCAATGAGAAATTTTCGTATGCTTCACAAAGGGCACTACAATATTGAAGAACTCATTTTCAGTCCTTAATGCATAGTGGGACAATGCATACACATTTCTAATTTTCCCCCCTTCAGTTTAGAAATGGATTTCTGAACTTTGCATCTGATAAGATTGCAATGGTGAAATGCTGTGAACTCGTATATTGCCCTTTCTGTACAATATGAATGACGCATGTTACTTTCATGTTAAACTATAGACAATGTGGACAATTATGTTTCAAACGTCTTATTAGTGGAAACTGACACAGCACAAATAAAAAAAAAACAATCTGAATTTACCACGCGCCTCGGTAGAGTGTTAATATATTTAAAGTATCATCTCCTGTCTCCACACGGTAAAAAAGAACATACTGAAAACAAGGTGTGAAGAAATACGGTAGTAAAAACCGCCCTTGGATGTTGTAATCTGAACAGTTATTCTTCATCTTTTTGGAAAAAACAAAAGTGTTACGTCACACGACATTATCATTTGCAACATTTAATATCGAAACGTGTACTAGTCAAAATTAAAGCAAAAAGAACACGAGTAATTATTTTTTACATTTACTAAATAAAAATTCTATATTTATTGAACTAACAAACAATAATAAATTCATAAAATAAAATACATTAATACAAAAATTAAAAAAAAAAGTACCTGTTGAACTATTAATAATTTTAAAATGAAGTGTGTAATGGTGAAAGTGTCTATTTTTAGTCGTTGTGAAATCTATTTTTTTTAATTGAAACTATCGACCCCTAAAAATGTTTCAATTGACCCCAGGGATCGATATCAACAACTTTGAGAATGAAAGACCTAAACATTCTTTAAGAAAACTTTTGCAATGGCAACGTTACCATTGTACACTGATCAAATTTATTCAACAATGAATTTATTTAGGGTGGTCAGTCATTTCTCGAAACAAATTTCCCCGATTTTTTGCGATTTTTCAGAGGATTTACCCAATTTTCCCTGACAAGATATATACGAGTATTTAACACAAAATAAAACATTAAAGCAAGTATAAAACTAATTTTTCAGCTCTCTGATTTTACCATAATAAAGTACAATTAAAAAACTCAACCAATAGAAATAAAGCAAAAATAATTTGTTTAGATATAAAAATATATTAAACTATTTGTTTAGATATAAAATATAGTTTCAAAACCATTTAAACAATTTCTCCGGTTTCTAAGTATTCCCCCAAAATTCCCTGACTTTTCCAAAGCAATGCAATTTCCACGGTTTTCACGGTTTCCACGGTTTTTCCATGATTTTTCACGGTTTCCCAACACGTGGCTACCCCGTCATTAGACTTCACCTGCACGCGGTCGCTGAGCTGCCGGTTGGCCTCTCGCAGGCGCGCCGCCTCCGCCTGCAGCTGCTTGCAGTCGTGGTCGGGCCGGTGGGCGTCCCTGAGCTGCTGCTGCATGTGCGCCAGCTGGCGCTGCGTGGCGGCGCGCTCCAGGCGAAGAGCGGCCTCGCGGTCGGCCAGCGCGCGCGCCAGCTCTGCAGACGAACCGCGCGCCAGCGCCTCGCGCTGCGCCGCCAGCGCCGCCTCGTGCTCGTGCTGCAGCCTGCGCCAACGGAAGAAACGATAGTGGGACATCTGTGACTACTACTTTCGAAATAGGGCAATGTTTCGAAATAGGGTAATGTTCCGAAATAGGGTAATATTCCGAAATAGGATAATGTTCCGAAATAGGGTAATGTTCCGAAATAGGGTAATGTTTCGAAATAGGGTAATGTTTCGAAATAGAGTAATGTTCCGAAATAGAATAATGTTCCGAAACAGGGTAATGTTCCGAAATAGGGTTATGTTCCCAAACAGGGTAATGTTCTCAAACAGGGTAATGTTCCCAAACAGGGTAATGTTCCCAAACAGGGTAATGTTCCCAAACAGGGTAATGTTCCGAAATAGGGTAATGTTCCGAAATAGCGTAAAGTTTTAAAATAGAATAATTATCCGAAATAGAGTATTGTGCTGGAATAGAAAATTAGGCTGAAAGAGTAGAACGTTCCAAAATAAGAAAAAATCTATCAATCAGATGACGTTCCCAATACATAATAGATTGTGTAAAATATTATGCTCGAAATTTATTACTTCCGAAGTATATTATCTTCGAAATACTATAGATTGTATTCAAAGTACAGTATGATTAAAAGGACCCGCGCGCCAGCGCCTCGCGCTCGTGCTGCAGCCTGCGCCAACGCCAACGACCCGCTCATCACGCTGCGCAAAACTACCCCTCGCTGGCGTTCCAACGCACGGCAGAGACTGCTGATGCTCGACACGTGCAATGTGGAATATTCGTTCCTAATATGTAAATAACTGAGAAGATTTTCTTAAAATACATCTTGGGAATGGGTACAAGGGATTGTAGGTTCAAAACAATCAATAAGTTCAAATAAATAAGAAAATGAAAAATACACTTCTAGGTATGCCGGGGCCAGAAAGGGCCGTGACATGGCTGAGACGGAAAAATAGGACAGAGTGCGGCTACAGACCGTGCAGAGATTGGGCAGGAACGAGAAGAGAACGAGAACAGACACCGGCTAGAGGGCAGAGACGGGACAAAGAGG